GCAAAGATTGAAGGTTACAGGGTATCAAGCTTTCACATGTGCCCTGCGAGTACGGCACACGTGCATTCTGCGAAAGCAAAACTTAATGACCGAAATCGCTGCTGTCGCTATGCTGATTCTCGAAGCCTTAGCTTTTCTCACAGCGGTTATATGTAAGAAAGCATGATTAATGCAGCCGCTCGGCACTTTTCCGCGGGGTGAACATTTCCGAAACCCCTCTTCTCCCTTGTGCAACTAGTTCAGGTCACTTAGCGTGCGCATGAAGGGCGTGCGCTCGATGCGCGGAAAACTACAAAGCCATTTTTATGGTTGTGCATATATGTTGTGCATACAGGAGCGATGAAACCGTGCGCTTACGGCCCGGTGGCATGGTCAGCGCATGTATCAGGGCACTAATGCTAACGCGTTAAAAAGCAAAAGACAGTAGGAGCTCAGAAACGGTTCGTTTTCCTAATCAAGGCTCGTACGTATACGTAGAACATATCTTTAAAACACCCTGTCCACGCATGTTATGTCGTCAGAGATATACGTTACGCCTTGATAAAGGCGCGAGCATTGGGTCATTATCGAAGAAAGTTTCATTGTTCAGTCAATAGACAGTTTTAGTATAGTGTTGCTGGCTCTTACGTGCTCAATACGCAATAGTATACGTTATTTATACTACCTGCTCGGACTGATTTTAGTTGTGCGTTCCGTAAACGTTGCCGAGTAAACATCTGGCATTATCTTGATTCAATTTTCCAGAGCCGTAGAGTTCTGCATGCTTACAGCGCCACCATGCTCCTCAGTACAAATATTGAAAATGAAAACGTTTCCGATAATTTCATTTCAAATTAAGCCAAGCCGCATCTGTCTGGTCAAGCGCGCTTTTGTGCGGGGTATGGAGGCCACGAGTACGAGTTAAATTCGATCACGGAGACTCCGCCAATCCTCCTGTGGAAACGTCAACTTTTATCAGAACTATCGCGCCAAGAGATCTATATACTGATGTCCAGTGCACGGCGACAACTTGGGCGATTTTTTTACGAGTCGTTCGTCCGTCGGCGATGAAATGCGCGAAGAGGCTTAGCGCTGAGCAGATCGCAGTGTCCACGCACATTGCGAGCTGTGTACATTTTCACTATGCACTCCTTCAGTTGCGTGGCGATCTGACTCGACTGCGGTAGGTCCCGGAAAGAACTGCCGAGCTCAACAGCCCCTAATTTCGCGTAACACTGACCTTCGCGAACACCACGACGCCTATGCCGCGCCAGTCGAGGTAACAGCCATCTTGAAACTGGTGCACTCACTGAGCTCGAGATCTCCCGAGAGCTTTCCGCAAAGCCAACTAACCCGCAGCGCAAAATTCGAAGCGTTGCGTGCGTATACGCTAGTCCTTCTACTGCGTTCTGCGCATACGTACTCCCTACCCGTACGGCTCACTAAAACTGTCTAATAAGGGAGTTTAGGGGCATAAAGACCCTTGCATTAGCACTGCGTACGACGCACGCAAGGTCTCAGCGGAACGCGTCAAACCAGCGCTTTCAGTACAGCGTACGAGGCATATGCTCAGTGGAACACGCAACGCAAATGCAGAGTGCTCGCGTTTGCTTATACACAATACTAAAACTCTAATATGCACGAAACTGCGAACAGTGTTACCGTTCTATAGTGAATCAAACTAAAAACAAAAGTGTCGTAGACCCAAAAAAAAAAAAAAAATCCGTTCATGAAAGGTTTTTTACGGCCCCAAGAACTCTTTCAGCTCGTGAAGCACGGTTTTGCCCCAAGTACTATCGCCCCCTGGCGCAATAGAAAGGCAACTGGGCGATAAAGAACTCTTTCCGTTATAGGTTTTTTTTACGAAGAACCCTTTCGCAGGTTGCTTAAAACAACTTTATGGATGCATTTTATGGACAAGCCGAAGAACCCCTAAAAGTTTTTTTACGAACAGATTTTTTTTTAGAGTGTATAACCAGTTAAAACTTTAAGCGATCGGGCTTGCCGGCCACGTCTACCAGCATGCTTACCAACTACTTTTCCCTGACGTCTAAACCTGTAGCCTATCTAGAGCAATTCGGTGAAGCACATCAAAACAGTATAATCAATGCGATCAGTGTTTCGTCCAAAGGAAAGGTAGCAAAGCGTAGTGGAATTCAGCTCAACTAGTTGGTTCAAGACCGTTTTACTGTTTACAAACATGAACCGCTGCTTGCATCTCAGGCGACTTCCGGTCGCTCTGTCTTTGCAAGCGTGTCGAGTTTGCTTATGTCACAAGTGCTAGAAACCATAAATGGTACATGGTCAACGAAGTTAAAGATTTTCCAAAACCCTTCGGCTGTTTCTTTTTTTTTTTTTTTATAATGATGACTGGAGGGCAGAGAGGTAAGCCTGGACTTCTGTCGCAGCCGGCTACGCTGCACAGGAGAAGGGATAAAAAGGGGAACGAAGTAATGACTATGAGAAGGAAGAATTAAATGAAGGGACGAGGGGTTGAGAGGTTGAAACAGCTAAAAATAGTTAGTTCCTCTTTGCCTGTAGGCAACATTACAAGATTACCTCAGTTGTGGAACTCCCATGGAAGGGAGTACCCCCCTCAATCACTTGAATCCGCCTCCCGTCGTTCGAAGCGCCAGATTTTCGTTTACGAACTGTGTGTTCCATAGAGTATGGTGGAACGTCATCTAGACGTACGTATCCCATAGAATACACTGCAGTTACCTAAGCAGCCGTCCGGCGCGTCGAATGACGGGAGGCGAATCGTGGTGAGTGAAAGGGGGGAAAGGGGGGAGAGGGGGGGGGTACTGCTTGTGCATGCGTCATCTATGAGCAGTTCCGCAACTGAGCTAGTCTAATAACGTTGCCTATAGGAATTGCATTAGCCGCGTGTCCACAAGGAATTGAACCAGCGCTTTCGTGGCTCTCACTGAGTGTTTTGTGTACTGGAGGAGAGGAGTTGGTTTACAAGAATATTAGAAACATTTGAACAGATCAAGCGCTTCTTAGTTCTTTTGGTGTTCACCTGGAGAATTAGTGGTTAAATGCTTCGACATTTCAAGCAGTGAAGTTAAGGTGGGCCGTGTTCATTCTTTTTTAATGAACCGGAAGTTTGCTGGGACGTTAAAGACTGGAGCACCGCTTAATAACGTTTCAGAAAAAAAAGAAGGTTTACCTTCTGTTTGTTGAATAATTCTGTGCTCTTACATATCCGTTTCCAGCTAAGCTGCACGGTTTGGTGGACGCCACACGTTCGTTGACCCAGTCAACTGTCGTTTCCGCACCGTGTGTTCATGCTCACGCGCACACAGCGGTGTCGGATGAGGTGATGAAACGCAGGAGATTGATTGTCTCGCAGGGACGCGTCTGAATGACAGACTCAAGCCGCAGTCACATGGCTTACACGCCACACAAAAGACAGTTGCAGACACTCTCAGGGGCGTGGATCTTCTTTATATGACGGACATGTCACATTGGTCATGCTGGAAGCACACATTCATGGGAAGCATGTGTAAAGTTGCTGAATGGATCTCAACACTTGCTTTTAGAAAAATTTATTAAATCAATACTGCAGGCGTGGCCTAACGCGATGTAATGCGGTAGGTGTTGCTGCGCCGTGCGCAAAGCACATGTGCCACCGGGAGAACGTCTTCAGTCCATGGAGTCCCTCAGTGCCTAATCAGAGGGGAAGGGCATGAATATTAACAACCTAGTAAGTCAGTAGGACGATATGCAATATCTTATATAGAAAGAGCTAAATCGTGTTCGCTCTGCAAACGCATAAGGGCCTAAGCAAAACTTCGTTAAAAAGAAGTTGATAGCATAAAGAAACCTACGCTGCAACACAACTATCGTAAACAATGCGTACTAAATTTTGCTGTTAAAGTTTCTATGTGAGCTAGGAGTTTTTGATACCGACCCTAAACGGAACCCAGCGCGCTCCCACTATATCTGTCGGACGAAGCCCCGTGTCTTCAAAACCACCTTTCCCATCGTCTCGCCGCCGCTCTAGCATACGGCACAAGTATCTCTTGACACACGCATCGTGCCTATCAAGATATTTATTCTTGGTTAGTTAATTGATGGGTCATTTGCTGTGTTGCAAGCAAGTATTTTTACATTCGAAAGCAGCTGCACAACGTGGATGACTATAACGTTTCCGCGACGCGAGAAGAACTTAAAAGCAGGAAGCATGAGGTTAATCAAGGCGGCCTGCCTCGGTTGGTTCCCCGAGTTAGATAAGGGTATGGAAGGGGAGGGGCGATTAATAAAGGAGTAAAGACATAGCGCTCATATACATAAATGAGAGTGCACTTTTTGTCGTTCGCTTCTCACAAATGTACACCTAAATAACCCGAGTAGTGTATAGACGCTTTACAGCAGCTGTTGCGTGGGCGCCGCCATAACCGAACTTAAATTTTTGTTTCCTATTCCGTTTATTTCACTTCAACATGACCACAGCAGGGCAGGATATTGCCATTTTAGATCCTACCGTGTCCTTCTCCCCAGCATTGGCCCTTGTGGAAGCTCGACAACGCCCGCTTCACTGGCTCGGCATTTGGGTAAAACAAGACAAGGTCAGCACCGGCGGCCGAAATCTGGCGTGAGTACAGAGAGTCTATATCAGCACGAAGGTCAGTTGAGCATGTGCATATCAGGCACTTAGCCAAATTATAGAACCGAAAGATTTGCACACGAGCACGAAAGATAGCTAATAGAGCACCTTATGAAGCAGGACTCCAGGAAAGTTTCGTAGCTTTCGGTATGTAAACCAAGGCAACACACACACACACACCTCGTCTCGTCAGCGTGTCTGGAAGGGAAATAAAAAAAAAAGTTTCTGACTGAAAACCTGTCCTTAAACTGAAGAACCGCAACTGCATCTAAGTGCCTTTATTTGCATAAAATCGATCAGCGAGCAAACACGAAGTGAGAAAACAACCATCTTTCTAAAATAATGCACAGATCGGGAAACCTAAGAGCAGCAAAGGTCGTCACGTGAAGCACAAAACGTCACCTCGTGCCTAACGAAGTTGCCCACAATCCGCGATGGAAACCCTCATTGTTGTGCGTCCGGTCGGAGTGCCGAGGTTTTCCATCTTTTTGACGATCTCAAACCCGTCGATGACTTGACCGAACACCACGTTCTTGCCGTCCAACCACTCGGCCTCGTTCGTGGTGATGAAGAACTGCGACCCGTTGGTGTTCCGACCAGTGTTAACCATGGACAGCGTACCCAGGCACGTGTGCTTCAGCTGGAAGTTCTCGTCCTCGAAGGTGGGCCCGTAGATGGACCTTCCGCCAGTGCCGTCCTGGTTGGTGAAGTCTCCACCCTGGCACATGAAGCCGGGTATGATGCGGTGGAATACCGAGTACAGGTAGCCGAAGCCCAACTCGCCAGTGCAGAGCATTCGGAAGTTTTCGGCAGTCTTCGGGACAACATCGGGACGCAGTTCCATCTCGATTCGACCCAAAAGCGACAAGTCGGCTGCGATGTCGAAGTAGACTACTGGACGGTAATGCGCGTGGCAGTGGTGGCGCATTCTCAGGTTATTGACGGCAAGGGTCACTCACTCCGTGATGCTCGCGGGCAGAATGAAGCTGTTTTCCAGTTTCGTCTTATATGTATAGCCGGGTATTTTAAGATTCCCCGGTGACTGTAATCTTACAAATCATTCTATTATTTTTAGACATACGCAGCGGATCTTGTTGATGACGTGCACGGTGTTCCTCGTGTCCAATTTATGCACTGTCACCGTTGAGGCTTGAAATACAATGTACAAATAACGGTTGAACTCGAATAGCACTGCGTCATTCATAACCTTCACAGTGGAAGGGAAAGCCGCGACAACCGGTTTCCTTAACGTGACACTCCGCTATTCGGTTCGAACCGGTATTCGCACACCTTTATTGGTACGGGATTTTAGCAAACCGGCTACCGTGTTCCGCGTCCCGTATTACCGGAGCCTTAGAAGCATGTTTTTAAGCGCGCGCCCCGCAGTCATGCATGGTATCACCCAGGCGCGCGCTTAAAATGATTATTCCAAAGCTCCTGTAGTGCAGTACGCGGAACATGAGTTCGTTAAAAGTCACTATTATCGGTTTGTACAAGAGAAAATCACTAAGTAACAAAAAATATTTAAAAAAAAATATAAAAACAGAGCGGGATACCAAATTAAAAACTCTTTATTTGTTTACATGTCCTCCCCTAGCATAAACACATTTATCCCATATCTTTACCAGTGCTCCAACACCTGGTGCGTAAAATTATTTGTGTTCCCGTCCCGGCCACGTGTGTACCCGCCGCACTGTTGCTTCTGTCGCAATCTCAACCGGACGACCAGTTCGCTCCTCGTCTACAACATTTGAGAAACCTTGGGAAAATTTAGAAGGGCGGGATCATGCCATCCTGGTAACTAATTAGTAACGAGATGACTCTGGGCATGACACAATGGTATAATTGCCACTGAAACTGTACTGCTATCTAAGACCTCCCCGTACAACTTTCGCTTGTGTTTTTCTCGGAAAGTGGAAGTTACTGTCTTTTCTTGTTCAGATGACGCGTAGCCGGCAACACAGCCGTTCTTGTCGACCAGCACTGGCTTTCTCCTTATCTCATCAATGGAGAGTGCACTACGGACTCCACTATAGCGGAATGCATAGTGCACCCTCCATAAGTTTTTGTGCATACTCAAGTTTTGTGGCGCACATCTTTGTGTATACACAAAAATGAGTGGCAGAAAGCGTCTGTGGTTTATGTTACCGTCGCGTGCAATGTCCTGTAGCAATGTGCTCCTGGCACCGCATAAAATATTTTCACGGTAAAGCCAGGGTCCCACTACTCATACATTATACAAAAGGAGCCTGCAAACGCGAGTCACCGCAATATCCGTGGTTCGAATGCCGCGTGCCCAAGTTTTGTCCTTAACGACAGTGGAGAGTTGGGCAAGTTGGTGATTCATAATGGTTAAAAAGCGCAAAAGAACAGCGGACAGAAAGGAAGACACAAACACAGCGCTACTTACAACTGAACTTTATTTTCCTTAATACATATACCGGCGCCACGGTGTAAGATAAATACTCTTCAGGTGTGGACAGCGCGCTCCTCGCGCAGTGCAGATAAAGTTCGCTTTTCACTCTCTCTCTCACTATGGTTTCAAGCGGTGCCGGCAGATGACTCGTCGACCCGTGGGCACGGCAAAGACGGCTCGTGCCGCCTCATGCTCCACACGCGCAGAGCTCCAGCGAGGTTGTCGCTCGTGCAGAAAGACCACGGTGTACCGGGGTGTCATGGCAACGAAATCATTTTTTTCGCTCTCACACAGTTTCGCCGTTTGGCCGTTGGCGACACTGTCAGCCGCGGGCACGTAGAGTGCCTTCATACACAAGCGCGCTTTTGCTTGAGTGGTGACATCTCAGCCATTTTTCCGCTCAATCGTTTTTTATGCATTGTAAAGTGCGCGCCATCCGGTGTCACTCAGCTCGAGCGCGTAGCTTTGGCTAATGCATAGACGCCATTTTACCGCCCAAGTCACGCACCGAGTGCGCGAGAGCGTCACGCGCTGGCACGTTCACTGCAACAATGGATGTCTTCACCCTGAGACAGACAGACATGTAGGCACCCTACGGGCACGGTGGCAGCGGAATAATGCAGCCTTTCGGATGCCCGTCGAACGAACGCCATCTGATTCCTCGCGCCCCGCGTTTAGCCCCGCCGTGTCCACACCTAAAGAGTGTATCTTACACCGTGACCGGCGCCAACAAAAACAAGTTAAGAAAGGTAAACCAATACACATTGTTAAAAGGCTAAACTCCCCTTCGAATACGATAGGTTGACGCGCAGCTGCCTAAAGAAGCACTAAACCTGCTTCGTTGAGTGTGTAGAAGGTTAATAGAAGAGGTCGTTTATTCCGTCAAATCATCATGTGGGCGTCACTATATGTGGGTCAGACTAGAGTCACTAAATGAGCTATAGACGCTAGGTCAGACAGGCCGTTGCCTGAATGAACTTTTTTTTTTCTTTATTGCTGAATGAACGTTTGAGGGAGCACCGATACAACGTAGATAGCGTCGTATCAGGGCTTCTCGGTGTGCACTGCCGAGATTGTGGCTGCATTCCGCTCTTTGCTGACTGTTGCACTAAACAAAAACAAAATCCCCCAAGAAATACTTGAGGCCCAAGAAAGGTGTAGACTGAGCCTGCAGCGTGTCAGCACACCTATGTATCTTTATCGGACAAAGAATTACTGTTCCTCAGCCAGGGATGGCTAGTCTGAGATGGAGTGATGTCACAATTTTAGCTATTTAACAATGTGTATTTCTATATTTTTCTTAACTTGTTTTTGTTGGCGCCGGTATATATATTGAGTGACAAAGGAAAACAAAGTTGTTGTAAGTAGCGGTGTGTCTGTGCCTTCCTTTCTGTCCATTGTACTGTTGCGCTTTTTAGCCATTATTTCTCCTTTAACTCAGTGCCATGCCGCATTCGAAACACGGATCTCGCGGTGACTCGCGTTCGAATTTGTATGCAGACTATCTTTTGTATAATGTATAATGCCCGTGTCCCACTAGAGCGACAGACAGAAACAAACGACAGCGACAAGCCTCAAACCAGAGTCACTTCGTGATTTGAGAGGCTTTGTATATATAGAATAAAGTAGGCTATGCTCAAACACGAGCATCATGCACGCGAGGGTATCTTTGGCAAACCTGCAATCGCTCGTGCTTACTTCACGAGCACCGAACGACTGAACGCCTGCCAAAGGTACCATAGCGAGCTTGCTGCATGGGTTTGAGGCTTGTCGCTCTCTTTTGTTTCTGTCTGTCGCTCTAGTGGGACACGGGAATAAGCAGGGCGACCCCTGCTTAACGGAACCACTTATGGAACCTCCTTCTGACGGACGTCAAAGCGGTTGCGATCAGATTCTGTTAGCCGTATTCACCTTACCATTCACCAACAAAACAAAATGCAATTTTTTTTTAACACTGTAGTTATTCAGCGGTTAAACAGGTCACAGGTAACGTGACAAGGCTAAACCAGTCACGTCTGGTGAATACGGCTGTGTGTGTTTTAAGAGGGCGTGCCGCTATCTTTGTAGTACAGCAACCGAGCCTGGCTCCGTCAGTCTCACAGTCAACGGTGAAGTTTCAGTACAGGGACGCGCTGCAGCTGCTGTAATTTCTAGTCTCGCGCCGGTGTAATAAGCTGCTTAGAAGGGAGGACGCACATCGCGTTTGTCTCGAAAAGCAGTCTTTAACGAGTGCTTTCAGAGTCGAACGGATGCACGTCCTGCCCCGCAGGGAGCGATCCCAGGGTAGGTCAGGAATGCAGTGGGTCATGGCTGCTTCTAGGGTTGCTCTATTGTCGCAGATGCCGGAAAGATATCGAGGAAGGACGTCTCCACTCGCCCGTACTGATGACAACCTGGACTGGTTACACCAAACAGATTCTTTTCTTTTGTTGCTCTACATGGTTTATTGAAATTGGCGAGCAGGACTGCATAATGACTACGTCTCGCTTTAAACCTGCGTGACATTAAAAAAAAAGGAGGACGAAAACGCTGAAAGTACTGCTGAGCAAGCGCAGGCTGTTGCTGCCGCCGATGATTTTACGAATCGCGACTGATGGGCGGATTTCCATTTCTGCTTCAACCGGCACGATGACAGCCAAAGAAAGTTAGGGGAGTCCGCGAGACTTGTTGTGTAAGTGTTTACTCCGTAAATATTAGCTTTATAGGTGACCACGAGATATCTACGTGATCCCCCAAAAACGTGCACGCAGATAAAAAAAAAAAAGTGGGAGCATTTGTTATTTCCTACGCTATATCATCTAAGGGACTACATATGTAAGCCAATAAGCAAAAGCACCCATGGGACACATCCTTGATTGTGAACTCAGGGAGCGAGTACATCGGACCGCAATTCACTAACGATGCCGACAATTAACCGATCGTGTTCTCCTGTAATGTTCTGACGGTGCAACGAACTTCCTTTGATTCTACGCTGAGGGACAAAGACACAAAAGGCCTGTCGCTCTCGGTCAGGAGACGTGAGCGCGTCTGTAAGACGCGACCATCATATATGCTTGCATTGAGCATAAGGCAACACTGCAGTGTTCCATCACGCACGACCCATGATCGTTCACAAGCGTGTGTCAGCATTTGTCTACGCGCTTGCTAACATAACGCTTGAAAGAACAAAAGAAAAAAGTGTTTAAAGAAACAACAGAAAAATGCAAATCGCGCTTTTAGTTTCTCAGCAAAAAGATAAGAAAGTTTTTTTTTTCTTTATCTGGTTATTTTTTTACCATTTATATATCTACCAATGAAATTCTGCCAGCTTGGTGGTCGCGAGCAATGTGAGATAGCGTGATAACGCACAACCGAAACGCGACCGGAAAATATTCCATTTTGCTCGCCAGAGGCGCTGCTTACAGTGTAGGCCTGAGAGCTACATGCCTACAGTGTTTATATCCATATCAAAAAGTGAATGTGTTGAACAATGCCACGCTCTGGCGAGCTTTCTACGTTACCCTCAATAAGCA